TACAGGTGTGCGCCACCACGCCTGGCTGGAAGAATAACATTATAATTTAGACTGCCTTTCTGTACCCACTTCTTGCCATTCCCGTTTGTACCGGGGCCTAGTGGTGAGGGTGGAAGGATGGGCAGGGTGTTTCCTATTGCGCCAACTATGAAGAGAAGATTAGGTCTGGGATCCTTCCAAAGGGGTCCCCAGAAAAGCACGGAGACTGCTGAAGCTCTGGGGTGTCACACCTGACCTGAGTCCTTCACAAGCAAACAGGCCGCTTTCAGCAAACCCACAAGCTGTTTCTCAGTATCCAAAACAAAAAAGACAATCTCCCCAGTGCTGAAAAGTCCAGGGATTGTTTACACACCTGTGCAGACTGTCCTTGGACTCAATCATAAACCTTTCACCCTAGATTCCCTGGCCCCTTCCATACCTATGGAAGCCTAATTCCTTTCCCTGTTAGCTGCTAATATCTCTCCCCTGGTGTCAGCCCCTCCACTCACAGTGGAATCTCTCCCAGCTGGCTGCTGCTATGGATGTAATGATAGGGAAAACTTTAATAGCGAAAATTTAGGAAATGTCACAATGTAAGATAACTTCTGCCCCTCACTGTGTAGTTCAGGATTAACGGGTACCAGCCAGGCATGGTGGCTCACGCCTGTAATCCCAGCACTCGGGAAGCTGAGGCAGGAGGATCGCTGTGAGTTCGAGACCAGCCTGGGCTACATAGTGAGCTCCAGGTCAGTCTCAACTACGTAGTGAGACACTGTCTCAAAAAAACAAAATAAATAAACAAATAAATAATTATCCTACATCTGTATCTGGTAAGAGGTCAAGCAAATTTTCCAGTAGGACAAGTTACATCCCAGTGTGGCTGAGGGAGTGTTTCACAAGACAATGTCCCTGTGCCTTCTATACGTGGGGGAAGGACAATCCAGGTATTTTAGACACAAAAGACTCCTTTTGCTTTATCTCGGGGCTGCCCTGTGGAACATAACTCTTTTCTGCTCTCAACCCACGTTGCCGCTGCCTTTTCTGTGTATCTTGCCTAATTCCGTGTTCAGAACACCAGGCCCGCGTAGGAAGCCCTGTGGGACCCCCTCCGACAGAGCACACAGCCCCAAGCAGACCTTCAGGCGGATTCAGGACCTCTCATACCGCTCAAGGGTTTTCTGGAGCGGTGGGTGAGCGGCCACAGAAGAGTCAGCTCTGGGAGACCACGCATGCGGCGGGGTTCACAGGGCGGACCTCTACCTGCAGGGGTGCGTTTCCATAGCTACTGAAGGAGCAAGTGACAGAGCAGGGGGTGAGCTGTGACGGCAGAGCAGCCCCTGAAAAGACTGAGTACAGTGGGGAAAGCAAGCCCACGTGAGCTCTGCCTTACCTCCAAGGCTTTCTATAGTTCCCCACTGCCCTCGAGAAAATCCAAACACCTGTGCAGGCTTTGCATGAGCTGGTCCCTGCCCATCACTCTCACTCCTCCTCTGCTATTTTCTACTTTCTTTCTTTTTATTTATTTTTGGGGGCGGGTTGAGACAGGGTCTCACTGTGTAGTTGAAACTGACCTGGAACTCACTATGTAGTCCAGGCTGGTCTCGAACTCACAGGGATCCTCCTGCCTCAGCCTCCTGAGTGCTGGGATTGCAGGCGTGCGCCACCACGCCCGGCTTCTTTTTTTTTCTGTAGACAGAGTCATGCTATGTAGTCCAAACTGGCCTTGACTCACTATGTAGGCCAGGATGGCCTGAAACTCACAGTGATCCTCCTGCCTCAGCCTCCGGAGTGCTGGGATAACAAGTGCGCCATCACACTGTTTCTAGTGTTTCTTTGTTCAGTAACATGACCACACTGGTCCTTTAGTCCTCGAACAAGGTGTGCTTCCTTGCTCTCTCTATCGTATCTTTTCCTGGAGCCTCTCTTTCTCTCTCCTCTGCTCTGGGGATAGAATCCAGGGTCTTCACACTGACCTACATCCTGCTCCCTTTTTAAACTTTGTTTTGAAGTTGGTCATCATGGTGCACGCCTACAACCCCAGCACTCTCGGAGATGAGACAAATTCAAACCCAGCCTGAGCAATTTAGCAAGACCCTGATTCAAAATAAAAAAGAACTGGGGACATAACTCGGTGCAAAGGTCCTGGGTTCAAGCCTCAGAACCGGGAAAGAAAGAGAAAGAGAGAGGGAGAGGGAGGGCAAGGAAGGGAGCAGGGGAGGAGGGAGGGAGAGGAAGAGAAAGGAGCTCATGAGACTCAGGTAGAAGTCCAGGACTGGGCTACTTGTGTTTGCTTCTATAAAGTTTAAATTACACAAGCACAGAGCCTCCCTCATCTGAAATAAAATGCACATAAGTGGAAAAAAAAGTCTTTGTTTCCCTGTCCCTTCATCCAGGAGTATGGGAAGTCCCCAGGCAGGGAGAGGGTTCCAGCATCCAGGTACTGAGTAGAGCACCTGGTACAGAGTAAGTGCCCTACAAATGTGTTAAAGAGAGAAAAAATACTGCAATCTTTGTCCTCCCCAGTCCCCCAGGCCAAAGTAACTGCTGCTATTAGTTTTTTTGTTTTGGCTTGGTTTTTTCTTTGTTTTGTTTTGGGGGTTTTTTTGTTGTTGTTGTTTTTTGAGACAGGGTCTCACTGTGTAGTTGAGATTGACCTTGAACTTACTATGTAGCCCATGCTGGTCTCAAACTCACAGCGATCCTCCTGACTCAGCCTCCTGAGTGCTGGGATTACAGCGTACAACACCACGCCTGGCTTCGGTTTGGTTTTTTGAGATACGGTCTCACTATGTAGTTCAGACTGCTGTGGAACAAGCTGTGTAGCCCTGGCTGGTCTTGAACTCACAGAGATCTTCCTGCCTCAGCCTCCTGAGTTCTGGGATTACAGGCATGTGCCACCATGCCCAGCAAATCCTTTTTTTTTTTTTTTTTTTTTTTTTGATACTGGGGATCAAACTTGGACCTTGTGCTTGCCAGGCAAGCGGCAGAACCACTGAGCTAAATCCTCAGCATATCAGTTTTGTTTTGTTGAATCTCTCCAGATTAGTGCCATCCACTAGAATATTCCATATGATGGAAACATCCCGAGTTTGCACTTGCCTGAGCGACAGCCACTAGCTGCACTTGAGGTATGGTGGATAGCGGTGAAGAAGTGAATTTCAGATTTGATTTAATTTTAGTTAATTTGCATTTAAATTCAAATAGCCACATGTGGGCTGGTCATAGCGGACAGAGATGCCCTAGGCTCTGTGTTATGGGTTTGCATACATATGTGCACTCGTGGACTAATTTGCACTATTATGCTTTACATACTTTTTTTGGTACCAGGGATTGAACTCACTTGCAAGGCAGGTACGGTGCCACTGAACTACATCCCCGGCCTTCCACATAAATTTTTATGCTCTATGTATCCTGTTCCTTGTTTTTTTCATTGGACACTACATTTTGGAAGTCTTTTTATATTGGGCCATATGGATCTTTCTCATTCTGTTTAACTGCTGCTCAGAATTCCATAGTATCGTTGTGCCATAGTTTGCTTAGCTGCTCCCTAAGTGAGAAACACATATTTACATGGCTTTCTATTTGCCTGCATTAAAAATAGAGCAATGATGATATTTCTATTCAAGCCTCATTTGCACATGTCTGACCGTCTCTCCCTGGTTAACAAAGGTTGAATATCCTTTATCTGAAATTCTTGGGACCATGAGTGTTTCTTTTTTTTTTGCTTTTTTGTTGTTTTGCTTTTTTTGAGACAGGGTCTCAATATGTAGTTGAGACTGACCTGGAACTCACTGTGTAGCCCAGGCTGGTCTCGAATTCACAGTGATCCTCCTGCCTCAGCCTCCTGGCAGGGATTACAGGCATGCTCCACCACGCCCGGCTCCATGAGTGTTTCTGATTTCTGAGTTTTTGGATTCTGGAATCTGGGATTTAGTAGTTGAGCACCCCTAATCCCTTGTTTTTGTTTTGTTTTGTTTTGTTTTGTACGGGGATCAAATTCAGGACCTTGGCTTGCAAGGGTAGGAGATGGAACCGCTGAGCTAAATCCCTGGCCCTGAACACCCCTTATCTGAAAGGACAAGTGTATGGTCAAAAAGTTCTGGATTTTAGAGTATTTCAGATTTCACACTGTGGGATTAGGGATGCTTACCCTGCACTACGAATAGTTGCTATTTTAATAATAGTAATAATTGTTCTCATTTATTGAGCCTGTATTATATACCAACCATTGCTCTAGTCTAGGCCCTTTATGTACATTAAGTGATTTAACTTTTTTGTTTGTTTGTTTGGTACAAAGGACTGAATCCAGGGAGCACTAAACTCAGTGCTAGCCATTTTTATCTTTTATTTTTATTTAATTTTATTTATTTGCTTATTTATTTGGTATCAGGGATGGAACTCGGGACCTTGCACTAGCAAGGCTGGCGGTGGAACCACTGAGCTAAATCTCTGGCCCTGTTTATTTTTAAAATTATGTCGTCCTAGAGGTTGAACCAGGACCTTCACACTGAGGTCCCTTGGCCCTTTTTAAATTTTATTATTTTTTTTAAAGAAAGGGTCTTGCTGAGTCACTAAATTGTCCAAGCTAGGTTCCAACTAGCGATCTCCCTGTCTCGGCTCCCTATGATGGTAGGGTTGGGTTATGGGCGTGCACCATCAGCCTCAATTTAAATAATTTAATTCCTATTATAATGGAATAAGAGAGGACTTGCTACTGCCTCCACAGTACAGTGGCAGAAACCGAGGCTCAGTTTTAGAAATTTGTCTACCATTTCAGCCAGTAGATGACAGAGGCACAATCTGAGCCCAGCATCCTACTCCCAAGTCCACATGTTCATTTCCTGCTTTCCTAGTTCCTGCCAAACTAGCCAGCACAGGAACTGTGCTTGTGTCACACATGGGCCTTGGCTGACAGAGCGGCACTGCCACTTCAGGCGTCTCCTCAGGGCCGAGGCCCTGGGCTCCTCTGTCCGGGCTCCGACACAGTTCCCTGGAGTCTTTGCAGCTGGTCTGTCTTGGAAGCGCTGAACTCCTGGATGTCCCCGTCCCTGCCGAAGTCCTCTGTCTTCCTTCCTGGCCACTGATACACTCAGAGAGCTGCGGAAATGAGAGAGGCAGGGAGGGGGACAGGCTGTGTTATGTAACCTGATGGAACGTGATAGCAGCCAACTCCTTGATTGGAAACAAACAGGAAAAGAGTCAGGCAAGGCTTCCTGGAATCCAGGGTCCTGGAGCTGCCAAAACCAGGCCTCCTCTCTCAGGAACAATTGAATGTCACTTGGGTAACCCAACACTGCTGGCCAGAGAGACCTGCCCATGCCGCCCAGAGCAGTCTGTGTGAGCCAGGCTGGGCCCACAGGAAAAAAAAGGCCTGGCAGGGTGCCCTGCATGGCCATCTGAGGAGACTCTGGGCAGCGCCTGGTTCTGCTCAGGGCTCCGCTGTAACAGGGCGCCAGGTCGCAGTTTAGGGACGGATGGGCAGAGAGGAACAAGGGAGGGGTGCTAGCCCAGGGCTTAATCCCTGAACCCAGAGCAGGGCCGCTCCACTTCTAATCCTAGATTTTCCTGTGTGACCCTGGACTAGGGAATGACCTCTCTGAGACTCAGTTTTCTTAGTGGCAGAAAGGGAATAAAAATAGTACAGTAAGTAAGAATGGATTAGTGGAAAGAGGATGAAAATATTTCAAGAGTCAAATGAAATAGAGGTTGGCAAACCTTTTCGGGAAAGAGCCACATCATAACTATTTTAGATTTTATGGAGACGGCTGCTACAGCTATTCAACTTTGCTGGTAGGGAGCAAAGAAAACAAATGAGCATTAATCCAGGTTAGTGTCCTCATGCCTGGAATCCCAGCAGCTCCACAGGCTCAGGTAGGAGGGTCACAAGTTCAAAACCAGCCTGGGCTTTTTAGCCACATCCTATCTTACCTCAAAATAAAACATTAAAAAGAAGGAAAGAAGGAGGCCTGAACTACATTTATCATACCATTTTGTTGGTGTTTTTTGAAACATGGGTCTCACTCTGTAGAGCAGGGTGGCCTTCAACTCAGGGCAATAATCCCGCCTCAGCCTCCTGAGTGTTGGGATTACAGGTGTGCGCCGCCACACCCAGTTTATCATATTTTATCTAAATTTCCATTCAAAGATATGTTAATTGCCTCCCACTTTTATCTAAATTTCCATTCCAAGATATGTCACTTGTCTCCGACTTTTCACTCTCAGTGCTGTGAAGCATTTAAACTCAGACCTGGAATTTGAAGGTGAAAGAGTAAGCTGGGTGTGGTGGCACAAGCCTGTAATCAATAGCACTGGGGAGGCTGAGGCAGGAGGAGTGCTGTGAGTTCAAGGCCAGCCTGGAAGCTGCATAGCAAGACCCTATCTCCCAACAGGAAAAAAAAAATATATATGTGTGTGTGTGTGTGTGTGTGTGTGTGTCTGTGTGTGTGCATATTTATATATACATATATAAATATAGGGACTTGGGATCACATCAGGAAGGCAGATGGTTGGGCATGGAGCTGCCTGCTGGACCAGTGGTGGCGGTTAAAGCGCAGGCCCTGAGGTCCAGCCCTGGCTCAGTACCTGACCGCTGGGTGATGCTGGGCATGTGCCGCGCCATCTTGAGCACCCCTTCCTCATCTGTCCAACTCTGCCTTCATTGATCCTGACCTCGCCTTGACCTTGAACTGTATCCCACCATGGCTTGATTAGAATCCCTTCCTCGGGGCAGTTCTGGTGAAGAAAACCATAAACCGCATGAGCGGGAACTTCCACTTGTCTTTCCCCAGGGAGCCAGAAAAAGGAACCACCGGGAACCTCCGGAATCCTAGGAATGGAGCGGGGAGTGGTCACCAGGGCGAGCCTTCACGTCCTTGTCAAACGCGCTCAAATGAAAAGGGAAGGGCGCTGTGAGGCTCCTCAGTCAGGAGCGCTTCCATGGTGACAGAAGCCGGCTAAATTCGGTCTCCGCCAAAGAGGTGATTGGCTCACTTAATTAAAAACACCTCGATGAGTGCCAGCTGCAAGCAACGGCTGTATCCAAGGGCTGAAATGCCACCCCAGGGACATTCCCTCTTTCTCGGCTCTGCTCTCCAACAGTGAGACCCCTGCCGGGGAAAGATGACCACCCCCGCCTCCAGCAACGGCCGGGCCGAGAGACTCGGTCTCCTACTCTGGGCTCGGCAAGGAGGTCCGAGAACGAGGCCTCTTTGGGGCTGACGGGGTCACGTGCCCATCTCTGAACCAATCACTGTGGCCTTGGGAACAAAGGCTGTGATTGGGCAGTCAGGAGCCAGGCAGAGATGGAGTCAGCTTTGCCTAAACGCTGGGGAGAGGTAGTAGGAGAGGAGGCTGGGAGTGTGTGGCACAGGCCTCTAAGGCCAGCATGGGTGGGGGGTGAGGCCGGAGGATTGGCTAAATTGGAGCCCAGCCTGGGCTTACACTGTTAGTTCAAATCAGCCTGAAGTACAAATACCCCCGCCTCCAAAAAACAAAAAAGAATTAGGGAAGGAGACGGCAAGTGACACACAGAGGCAGCAGAATGGAAGTAAAATAAAAAAGTTTACTCCACCGATGGGGATCGATCACACTTAATGGCGGTGCCCCCATCGATCCCCCGCATTGGGTTACAACTCTTTCTTTTATAGGGTTTTACAGCTTTGATCTTACTCACTTGGTTACACTGCATTTTCACAGATACCCAAAACATGATAGCAAGGCAGTTGAATTTCAACCCGGATGCAGCTCTTTGTCAGGGAAGTTACCTTTAAGATTCATTTAATTACCTACTCTAGCCAGGGGGAAAGGGAGCTTGTTTAAGAAAGGTAACAATGGTTCTTTTTACTTACAAACTTTTATGAGAAACTAGGTATCTCTGGTACCGGTTAATTCTGAACTAAGCAGAGTGAGGGCCAGAAGTTATCTTACATTGTGACATTTTTGTAAATTTTCGCTGTTAAAGTTTTCCCTATCCAGTAAGGAGGTGCTCTTTCTGGAAGTTGGAATCCAGACCTCTTTGGAACCCTAAGCAACTCTAGGCCTGAGCAAAGGAAGGCAGGTGCGTGGTCTGGAACCAGCAGGACTACTTTCACTTGGAAGATAGCCGAGGTCAGTTTCCATAGCAGAGCGCATGAAGAGTCTACACAGGCAGGAATCTTGTTGGGTACCGATCAGTGCCACTCCGAGGAACCAGCCAGGCAGAAGAAGGTTAAGAACAGCGCTGATCCTAAAGGGACCGCTTTACCTTACAACTCCTTTAGTAGCAAGAGTCTTCCAGAAGGAACTAGGACTCGGGGCCCAAGGCACCCTCCAGTCAAATGGCAGCTCTGCCACCCATTTGGGGTTTGGCTTTCGTCAAGAAGCGACCTTTCAGCACTCAAGAGGCTGAAGCAGGAGGATTGCCACGAGTTCAAAACCAGCACGGACTACACAGCAAGATCCTATCTCCAAAAATTAAAAAAAAAAAAAAAGGTAAGAAATAAATAAATAAAGGTCAAGCTTGTATGTACAACTGCTGCTTAACATTGTCTAATAAGAATCCCGCACTTAACATGGTCGGAATCAAACTTGATTGCTGCCTCTTTCAAACCTGTCTATGGCTAAACACCTAGTTGCTCAAGCCAGAATCATTTGAATCGCTTCAGATCTTTCACCCGCTTTTCCCACTCAGCCCATTGCCAGACCCGTCCCACGACCCTACAATTCAAAATACTCAAAATACTCGGCTGCCTGCCATACCAGCCCACGCAGCATCAAGATTTAAAGCTGTTCCTAGGAAGTCCTGAGCTCACAGGTCACTTGCCACCCACGTGCCCGCCAAGGCCCAACAGGAAGGGTTTTCCCAGTGTTGCACACTGTCACTCCGGGGCAGGGTAGAAGGCACCAGGGATTCCCTGTCTGCCTGCTGTTCAGTTTGCTTATTCACGTTCTTGTCCTGCCCCCAACCCCTCGATCCTGCCCGAAGGGCATCTCTGGCTTTCAAGCTGATAGTACCCAGAGTTTCCTGCAAGGATGTCTGTTAGGTAAAATGAGCCAAAAATCAGGACCATAACAAGCCTTTACTATGAGGAGGATCTGACAAGCTCTCTCCCCAAACAAAGCAGAGAAAAACAACGTGGCAGAACAGGGAGCTTCTTTTATAGGAGTAGGGTGGGGTTAGCCTGAGCTGGGGTGGGATTGAGTGATGTAGTATTAAGAGATTGGAGGAGCCTGTGACATCACCAGGGGGGGCTTGTGACATTCCTAGCTGCTAGGAGGTAGCAGGTAGCAGGTTACTCTTTTGGCGGGAGAAGAGGCATGATGGGAAAAAGCCTGTCCTTTGTTGGGAGAAGCCATATTTTAACATGGAGGCTGCTATTCTGTGTGGCAGCCATCTTACGGCAAGGGAAATCTAACAATGTCTACAGGCCTGGGGATAATGCTGACCTCCCACAGGGAGGCAGGCTTCTTTTTCCTGGTTAGTACACTTACATTTTGTTTTTGTCAGGCTGTCTTTCACCATTTCAAAAACTAGGTAATAAAACTTTAATAGTCAGTGGAACAATTGGACTTTACCTTTCTTTTAAGTGCATGAAGTAAATAATTCTTGCTATGTAGTTCAGGCTGGCCTTGAACTCACTATATAGCCTAGGATGGCCTTGAACTCATGGTGATCCTCCTGCCTCAGCCTCCTGTGTGCTGGGATTACAGGTGTGCGCCACTGTGCCGGTGGAATAATTACTTTGGCAAGCCTTGTCCCCACTGAAATAGTCTCGGAGAAGCTGTTCGGAAAGTGAAGAGAGAAATGTCATTGAGGAGTTCAGTCACTAACAGGTAGAAAGTGATCTGGCACTTGCATCCGGAGCTGGAGGGCCATTCACATTCTTCCTGCCAGCTCATCCAGCCCAGCCTGATGTTTCAAAGGATTTCCGGGAAGGCCACCCTGGCACCGGCCATACCACCTTGAAGTTCTTTACATGTCTTCTTCAATGCATCAGCCTCTTCAAAGACAGTGGGGGAAATGTGGCCAGCAGCTAAGGACCTCAAAGATGGTCTTCTCGTTTGTTTTACAGGAGACTGAGGTTCTGGGAGGAGGAAGGGCTTTCCCAAGGTTGCACACTGTCACTCTGGGGCAGGGTAGAAGGCACCAGGGATTCCCTGTCCGCCTGCTGTTCACTGTTTGCTTATTCACGTTCTTGTCCTGCCCCCAACCCCTCAATCCTGCCGCTGTCCTGCCCAAAGGGCATCTCTGGCTTTCAAGCTGTCAGCCCTGGGAGAGCCCCTAAGAAAAACAACCTCGCTATCCACAGTGCCTATGTCTGGGGGACATCACATTCTACAGCCCCCTCCTGCATATTTACAGAGCATATCACAGGTCAAAGACTTGGGAGAGTCTCACAGTAAAGAAAACTGCTTTTAAAATGTTTCCCTCTAGACCAGTCGTGGCAGTGCCTGCCTATAATCCCAGCACTTTGGGAGGCTGAGGCAGGAGTATCACTAATTCTAGGCCAGGCAAAACCACAACCAACCAATAAGATTACAAGTACAGTCACCCAGGTAATATTGATTAAATGGGGATCAAATGGGAAAACAAGTCACATACAAGGAATTTCCCATTTAGAATATCAATCACTGCAGTCTCTCTCTAGGGGAAGTGGTGCCTCTTCCTTTTTATAACGCTAACCAGTGAATGTGCCTCAAATGTTCTCCAAGCCAGCTCCTGGAGGGCTGGCACCTTAAGGGAGGCCCTGGCTAACTGCCTAAAAGATATCTAATTAATTTACCTATCTACAATAGTGTTGTGAGGTGTGCTTAAAAGTCTGCAATCTCTCCTCCGAAATCATTGTTTCTGAATTTTTAAAATGTTTAGATTTTATTTTGTTTGTTTGTTTTGTTTTGTTTTGTTTTTGAAACAGGGTCTCACTGTGTAGTTGAGACTGACCTGGAACTCACTACGTAGCCCAGGCTGGTCTCGAATTCACAGCAATCCTCCTGCCTCAGCCTCCCGAGTGCTGGGATTACAGGCGTGTGCCACCACGCCTGGCAAAAATGTTTAGATTTTAGAAGAGTAATGTGGCTTATATCACATATATTCTATAGCGTCCCATAATCAAAAACATTGTTATGAGCTGGGTGTGGTGGTGCACACCTATGATCCTAGCACTTGGGAAGCTGGGGCAGGAGGATTGCTTTGAGTGTGAGGCCAGCATAGATTATTACAGTGTGAGTTAAAGCCCAGCCTGGACCACATAGCAAGACCTTGTCTTAAAGACCAAATCAAAACAAATAAACCAAAACAACGTTGCGATGAAATGCATGAGTATTCATAATATGTGGGATCTCAGCGATGGCTTTCAGTGACACAAACTGCCGTTGCGGTATGTATGCCGTAGGTTCACCAGAGAGTTAGGTCAGAATTTGCTCCTAAATGAGTTCTGCTGCCAGACTTTTGGAAAATTTGGTTTTTGTAGCCTTTTTAAATTTCAGAATTGTATGGGTATGTTTGTTTGTTTGTATTTTGACAAAGTCTTGCTTTGTAGTTCAGGATGGCCAGTTCTTGAACTCACTGTGTGGTCCAGGCTGGTCTTGAACTTGTGGCGATCTTCCTGCCTCAGCTTCCCGAGTGCTGGGACTATAAGGTGTGCACCACCATGTCTAGCTAAACATGACTTTTTTTTTTTTTTTTTGTACTGGGGATCACACTCAGGACCTTTCGCTTTGGAGGCAGGCAGTGGAACCACTGAGCTAAATCCTCAGCTAAATAAGACTTTTTATATTAAATTTATTTTATTTTTACAGCACTGGGGATTGAACCCACTGAACTATATCCCCAGCCCATTTAAATTTTTTTTATTTTGAAGCAGGTTATCAGTAAGTCACTAAATTGCCCAGGCTGGGCTTCAACTTGTGACCCTCCTGTTTCAGCCTCCTTGAGTGCTGGGATTACAGATGTGTGCCATCATATTTGGCTTGCTTTCAGAAATACAAACAAAGGAATGAAGGCTTGTAATGAAATTAATGGGTAATGTTTATTGAGCATTTGCTCGGAGCCAGGCTTTGTGCCAAGCACTTTACATGGATTAATTTGTTGACTCTCCAGAACCCTCGTGGTGGCTGC